AGCTTTGTCTCTGAAGTTCTTGTTATACTCTATATTTATGCTGCGTATGTTGATACAGGAAATACTCTAGTTTTATTAATTCTTCCCTTTGTTTTTGTATCGTACTAGTTTCGTCTCTGAAGTTCTTGTTATACTCTATATTTATGCTGCGTATGTTGATACAGGAAATACTCTAGTTTTATTAATTCTTCCCTTTGTTTTTGTATCGTACTAGTTTCGTCTCTGAAGTTCTTGTTATACTCTATATTTATGCTGCGTATGTTGATACAGGAAATACTCTAGTTTTATTAATTTATTTTTGTAGACAGAGATCTACTTTTAAAATATTTTCAAGTGCATAAAAAGCCCTTGTTGCTGACTTTGTCCTAATTTTTATTTCTTGTGATTTATTACCTCAAATAAGTAAAACTGTGTAGAATTTCTGTCTCACATTCATCCACTTATATCATTCCATTACTATTTATAACCTTTGTTTTCCTACAGTTGATCAACCCAGTTCTTACTGCAGTCCTCCTGAACATTTCATTGTATCTTCTGTTTTGCTCAGTATCATCTTTATAAACCAGCATTTGCCTTGCTACCCATTAATCCAATCACAAATTGAAAAGCATATGAAACTGTATACAGCCATGTCTCACTCCCTTATCAACATTAAACTGCCTTCTCTTCTATTCATTTTTATCCTAGAGTTCCTATCTTCATATAGACACTAACTTATTGCAGGAATTCCAAGCTTTATAAAATATTCCATAGGCTGTTTATGTGCATATTACTGTCTGGCTGCTTAAAGTGAATAAACATATGGTGGTTTATTCCTTTTCATATTTTCACATGATGTAACATAACAATATCCACTGTTTATCATCCTGGTCTAAAAACCACAGAGTTATTTTCCAGTTATATTATTTGTAAATGTTATTAGTCTTAGCATAATTCTTTTAATATTATATATCATCCTGGTCTAAAAACCACAGAGTTATTTTCCAGTTATATTATTTGTAAATGTTATTAGTCTTAGCATAATTCTTTTAATATTATATTTTGTAAGTATAAGACACGAGTGAGGTAATGTAATAATTCTCACACACAATGTTTTTGTTTTTTTAAAGATTGGTACAGTTAAGTGCTTTTCTCTATTATTTCCACTATCTTTCCATTTCAAATAGCTTCTGCATGAAATATGATAAAGTTAGGTGAAGTAAGTTACAATGTTAGATTGATTATATTAGATATTTAACTTTAAAAACTGATGATGCCAATAAAACTTCTTGGTAATTTTCAATTCCTACTTCAATATTATTCTAAGACCATTAAGTGAAACCTTTTGAGATTTACCACTTTTGTTGTTTTTAATTGCAGTATTTTTATTTACTTTCAGAAATCTGAAATAGATGGTTTACTTTAAGTTGTAATCATATTCACAGTTGATTTACGTTCTTTGTTAAAAAGTTAAGGATGATTAATCTCTCCTCTTTCCTAAAACTGGTATTAAGCTCAATGGTATATGTGGTTCTCACACACTTTTTTTAAGTGAGGACATAGTCCACCAACACATTTTTGAGAAATGCAATGTTTCATACTTCTGTCTACATTGTTTTTTTGCCTTGAATGGTAGCAAATACATCCTTGTTTTATGCTCCACTTGCAACTTTTTTTCTCGACAGCATCTGGTTCAGGTTGAAGTTGCAAAACTTTCTAGCTAAATTATTGGTGACTCGAGTCTCGTACTGAAATTGTCCCAAATTAACTGAAAATACTTGAGTGAAAGAGTATAATAAAAGTAAAAGGTGTTTAAATAGACACCAAAGTTGCACCTGTTATTATAAAATAATAATGGGATTGGCAATTAATTGTTTTATTATTAATTATTATATTTATTATTGATGTGATGATTATTATAAAACTGAAACTTAGTTCCAATATTTATGTAATTTATTGTTATGTAAATTAAGAAAAGGCAACATTTTGCCATGAAACTAATTGTATGTGGTTCTTGATGGGCTAAGTAATAATAGCTATAAGTCAATTTATTATTTATCAATGTTTTTAGGGGTAATTTTTTCTACATTATTACTCAAAATTTGAAATATTTCTTTACTTTTCCCTGGAAACTCATGCCCTGGGTCTATGAACTCTCAGCATGTGAACTGTACCCTATCCTCTACAGTTTATTCACTATTTTCTGTAGAAGTCTGGCCTTATTTAAAACACAAGCAAGAGGTATCACATTAAAAAAAAATATTGAAAGGGTAAATAGATTAGAAGAATATGCACTTTACAGAAATGATCTAGAGTAAATTTTCTGTATCAATAATTTGTCCTCTGCTGGATTTGAGAATATATTAAATGATATTAAAAACAGTGTTTTAAAATATAAAGAAACTATTACTTAGAGCACAATTATAAGGTTTCAAATCTGTCAAGTATCCGTCAAATACACCTATATAAATGTTTAGCGGGTATTTTATAAGTAATGATACCACAAGTTAAAACTAGATGCACTTGTGTTGGGTCCCTGAAAGTGTTCTGTTTCAAGGATAAATAAAACCAAACTATGAGTAACAAATATTTTTATTTTTTGCTTTTGAAATTCATAATTTGAAATGTGTTGTAGCCTAGAGAGTGCATAATGTTTCTCATGATTCATGACGTGCATGTTTTACTGATGTCACAACAGTACAATTACAATATTAAGCATTTCTTATGTGATGTCATTTTAGTGTCTACTGACTGACTGACTGACAGACAACACACTACTGTGTAGGGGTGTGAGTGGCTTAAACAGGTGACCTCTCCAGGCACCTTTTGGCCCCATTTTGGGGAAAATATTTTAGCATGCTATATTTTGAAATAATTTTAATTTTCAAACAAATAATGTGATCTTACTTGTCATGTGTAATTTATACCTTTTCTCTGTTCTCTTACTTTTTGTTTTTAACCCGATGACCACTGGCTACTAACTTCATAGTAGCCGATGCAAATCTTGCTATATTTCATTCCAGCAATACAACTAGTGGATGAAACTGTTTGAAACTTCATAAGAACTTTCATAAATGCATGTAGTTTAAGAAACGTAAAGCCTGTTACTTTTGATGAATTTAGTTATTTTGCATTATGATCTTTAATATCTTGGAAAA